AGGACATGATACCACACGGCCTGAGTCCTTCCAAAGCACTAGTTTCGACCATTTTGTTCCCCTGAAGCAGACAAGATGTTCAGCCGTGTCCTAGAAATCGGCCAGTTCTCAGACGTTGTGAGAAGAATGCGACGTCGCAATTTATACGTGGCCGCACCTATCTTGTAAATGGCAGTGTATGAGGCATTTACCCAACTCAATCCGATGACGAATATTTCCGGTACCTGCATCCGCCGTTATACAAGGGTATCCGGGCCAGGAACCCACAGACAATTGCTGAACGCAGCTACGAAACTGGAGAAGCGGCCAATCAAAGCCAACCTGGGCAAAGGAACATCGATAGCAAAGATTTGACGCTAGGCCGATTCAAGAGATGCTTGCGAATCGCAAGCTTGCCCATTCTGAGAGCGCACCGAGGCCAGACTGAGGAGGATAACGTTATGACATGCGTGCGATGGTGGAACTGTCGACGTGCAATCGTGATGTCTCAATTTACTCAATTGTGTTGCTCTTGGACGCCTTACGGACCAGCATGCGTGGCTGGGGACAGGTATTAGAGTTCAAGAGCGCAGCAGCCAATGATGACTGGGAAGTAACGGCGCGACCCAGGAATCGACGTAGCACGAACTCAGCGCGCTGTCACATGACATGAAGCGGACGGTCGAAGCGGACAATACAATGTTGATGGGCCGGAGGGTGGTTTTTCGAGCTGTAGAGTCAAGGCTCGGGCGCTCTTACCTTGTTATCCATGCATTGGCCCCAGCATGAATCCATCTCGTACTACGACGTGGCCTCACCTGGCGATGCTTCCTCGGCCCCGAACCAGTGCTCTTGATCAACGCGGGGGAGGCGGGGCGAGCACCGATTCACGTCGACTTGTAAACGCTATCCGGCAAGACTGGGCGCCTGAAATAGTTGACGTCCAGCAAGCCATCCGCACTCGCAGGGGGAGGTTGCAATGCAGGTGGTGAGAGGGCTGGGCAAGCGCAGGAGAGGCAACTGCAACGCGGGAGAAGGCAGAGCGATGCCATCAGCCCACAAGGGCAGCGGCATCAGCTGCCGGCCCTTGAAGAGGGAAAGAGGCGCGACCGGAGCTGAGCTGCAATGCAGAGGATATTGCGCACACGCACATTTCCAATCAGAAGCGCGCCATGTCGAGCCTACTGCAACATTGGCGGCGGCGGCGACGAACCCCACTCCCCCAAAATTGGTGCTCCAGATCCGCCGCTGCGGTACCTGACCAGGTAATCTATTCTTGCTCGGACGCGACTGGCCTTCTAGAAGAACACCAACATTCTTTACGGGCTCCGGCCCTTCCCCATGATTCGAGTTGATGACCGCAGCCAGGGACAGCAGGCTTGAAACGTCGACTTGCAGCCCGACACTGCGCCGTGGACCGCCATACATGGATGCCGACTCGACACCACCGCCTGCTGCGCCTATTTGCCCATTGCCGCTCTGATAAGCGATCTCCGTGCCCGCGGCGACTAGGACGAAGCCAGTCCGGCCCTCACCCTTCACCATCTCACAAGAGCCTTGCGGCGTAGCTGTCGCTCGGCGCGCGACGCTCATCGCTGACTCCCTGCCCTAGACACTGAACCACCCCAGACATTGACACAGTCGGACGTCCACGAGACCACTCCCCTCGACACACGTCTCCACTACCCGGACGGCCCGCGGAAGCCTGAGCTCGGCTAAAAAAAGCACGCAGCGGACCTGCAGCATCCACGTGGGAGGCGATCCTTCGATATGGACTCTGGTTTATCAGATCGAATGGGACGCGCCTTGGACGAGGCCCGCTCCAGATCCATTGTACCACGGGATGCTACCAATGAGATCATCGACCTCTCTACTGCATACAACGAGGTGCCCTACAAGGAACTCTCGGAATTCTTCAAGACGACTGTCGACACCAAGTTGACGGCAAAGGTGAGGCGACCTCGTTGCAAGCTTTGCATCATGTACATTTGACTGTAAATGTAGCACTTTGCGCCCTCGGGTACCACAGACGAAGAACCGTTGCTACGTAGCGCCCTCAGCTCCTTCTTCAACTCCCACTTTCGCCCCATTCACCAAGTCGATCCCGAGCACATTGTGCTCACGGCAGGTGCCGCCGATGGCCTGGAGACTTTGGTGCATGCCATTTGCGATGACGGCGACAGCGTGTTGGTACCAGGGCCCTATTGGTGTAGGTAACAGCCCTGGCTTACAGCAATCAAGGCTGATGGAAGATTGTAGACGGATATGAGCCGGCGTTCAAGACCCGACCAAACGTCAACATCATCGTGGCCCATCCCCCTACCTACGTCAACTTTGACAACTACCTCCTCGCATCGCTTCAAGCAGCCTACGATTTTGCAGCAGACCGATCTCGGATAAAGGCCGTGTTCCTGTGCAACCCTCACAACCCGCTGTCGCGATGCTATCCGAAAAAGGCAATCGTCGAGTGTATGGAGTTTTGCCAAGAGCACGGTCTGCACCTTGTCTCGGATGAGCTGTTTGCGCTCATGCCGCTCGATGTAGCGCCTTCTGATGCCCCTTCATTCATATCTGCACTCTCACTGACCGAGCCTCTTGTACCAGAGGGCGCTGTCAAGGTCGACCCATCTCGCGTACATGTCGTATGGAGCGCGAGTAAGCTCTTTGGATCCCATGGCTTCCGAGTGGTACGTGGCGCTAGCTCTATGACCTACCGAGCTGACAGCATACAAATAGGGCTGTATTATCTCGCAACAAAATCCGGAGCTACGCAGAGCCCTGGGACTTCTCACGGCGACCCACGTCAACAGCGTCAGCATGTTGTATCTGAGATCGCTCCTCACCTGGTCACAGTTGCCCACCCTGCTCAAGCTTGGCTCCGAACGCCTAACGGCTTCGTGTCGGTTGCTTTTAGATGCGCTTCAGCAGTGGAATGTCACCTTTGTCCAGCCAACACACGGGATCCTAGTGTTTGCAAAACTGGCCAAGAATGTCAAGAGTGCAGAAGAAGAAAAGACTTTCTTCCAGCGACTGGCGGCGCACGGCGTGGCTGTCAGTCCCGGTCAGTTCTACAATGGCGTCGAGCTCGACTATGGGTGGGCGCGGATACGGTTCGCCGTTTCGCTCAACGACATGAGGATGGCGATTGCCAAGATGTCGACGTTCCTTGCAAAGGAGGCTTGAGAGGCGGGGGCTTTTGCATTTCTTTAGCTTCGAGCACGTTTTCCATGCGGCGCACTTTCTCTTTCGTTGTCAGCTTCGGCTAGGTTTATCCAAGGTCAGTGTTTACGTTCAGTTCATACTCTCGACTGCTACAAGCAGGTAGACGTGCAATCTTTGATACTGCTAGTCTTACAGTTGCTTGTACTGCTCTCTATTGTTACTTTGAACACGATTCACGACCAAGGGCGCTGTGAAGATGGGATAGTCTTCAAGTTCCATACGTGAAACAACCCGACTATATTGGCCATCCGTCTTGGGATGGAATTTATTGCATTGACCCAGTCACCAACAGTCTGCCAGCATTCACCTCTAGAATTGCCCATGGAAGTGAAGGTGAAAAGGTGGCACGCGTCGGCGTCTGTAGCGTCGTTTCCCCGATCAACGCGCCTTCTTCCTGTTGCCTGTGGTTACGACAACCGAACCTTTAACACCCCACACCGACTCCCAAATTCCTCTTCTCTTCTCTACCACCTTCGCAATGGAGCGTACCTTGGCCTTTCGCACCAAGGGTCCCGTTCCCGAGGAAAAGCTGACATTGAACGAACCGCAGATGGTTACAATCCCGGCAACACCTTCAGGACTGCCGCAGAACGGCTCTGCGGTTGCCAATACTTCTCCGACGACCTCTCCTGGTGACACGCAACCAGCATTGCCAAGTCAACAACAAGTCAACTTTGGAAGTCAACTCCAGTCCCTAGGCGGTACGGAGATCGGTGCAAGGGCTAACAGCCAAGTAGCGCTTTTCTCGTCAGCTCCCAAAGCTCGCACGCTGACTCCAGAGGAGTGGAGTAGGTTCCCCTCTGGCATATTCGGTTCCTGCTAACAAAGCCGCAGACGTTCTACGACAGTACGCCATCACCACAATCATGCCAAAAGTGCGCTGTGAGCGCTTCTATTCCAGCATCCACAAAGCTTCTGTAGACGTCAATCACTTCCTGGATAGGATGTATACTGGACTGGATTGGAAGGAAGATGTCCTCGGACACGTTCAACTGGGCCATAGGAAGCTGTGCGCACTCCACTACCTTGTAACGAACCTAGTCAACAAAGGCCGCATAATCATCAAACCCCACGGACAGGATCGCTCAAGACGATACATCAAGAGGGAATCCCGTCGTAGTCGTGACGGAGGCGGTACTTCTAACACGGAGCCGCTCGGACGTGGTCGAGGATGGGGTGTCGACATGGAGAATCGTCAGTGCAAGCGTAGCCGGTCGGACGTCTACGACGAGGATGTCGAAATGGAGGATGCTCCCGAAGCTTGCGAGGATGAGCACGCAGACAAGAAGCGGAAGACGGGTCGAGAAGTGCATCGCTTGTAGTGGATGGGAAAGGACATGAGCTTGGGGCGGATGGTGCAAGTGAGTGAGACGATATACTGCAGAGGGAACCAATCTCGGCTTAATTTTTTGGACGCTAGCTGAGAGAGGGACTCATAATAAGGGAGAACGGATGGAGGAAGCCCCGCTTCGAGGCAGCGTTTTCCGTCGACAGCAGTTCTTTGAATGAAAGGATTGAGAAACGTGTTAACAGACCAATCTTGCTATTGCTCGTGATTATAAGAGTCCTGGTGATATATATGCTGAGGCGTGTGTGCTGAGGCGTGTGTGCTAAGATGTGTGTGCTAAGTACTACACAGTATGCCCGTCTTAACCATGGATGTATGTGTTAAATACTACATATAGTAGGCCTGTCTTAGCCATAGCCGTATGTGTGGCCTGTGTGTGGCCTGTGTGTGGCCAAGAATTGTGCAAGCAAAAAAAAGATAGTCAAGGCAAAAAAAGAAGATAATTGAATGCCTCCACACGGAATCGAACCGAGGACCTCGACATTACTAGTGTCGCGCTCTACCGCTGAGCTGGGAAATATTAGCAGGATGAACAACTGCAAGGTGGAATAATCTTACCTATAAAGGCTTTTGATGAAGAATATGCACAAGCTGTAAATATATATGGTGCAAGATATCAGGAGAGCAGAAAAGGTTGAGAGCGGACTGATGCGGGGCAAGATCCAACGGGCGAATGAGATTTAACCCTGGCTACAAACTAAAGACAATTTGCGTAAGCCTTGGAAAGGTGGCTTGCGCGGTGGGTCTGGAGCACGGACCGTTGACACGCTCACGTGACGCTCCACGCTCAAAACAACGTTGGCGACCTGTCGCGATCTGACAGCGGTGCAGCTGCGTCGCATCGTCAACATGTCTGCGATACTAGAAGACCATGCATTTGTAAAACCGATTCCATACATTCTTCCACGAGCAGCTATCCAAAACGCCATGTACTAGCAGCAGAATCATCCACGAAAAGCCCTCCCAAAATGCCATAAATAACAGCAGAATGACAGCCCAGACAACCACCGCGCACTGATGCGAATGCACGCCTTTGCTAACAGTAACCATGAACCCGAACTCCAGTGTTGTAGATGCCACACATCGATGCGGACGTCAATTCTCGTCCTCTTCCCTAGCCATCCTCCCTAGCCATCCTCACCTCCCACCTCGCCGATGTCACTACTTGCCCTCTTCCCTCGCTATTCCCACCTCCTTACAACTCGCTGAAGCCGCTACTCGCCCTCTTCCCTCGCCATCCTCGCCTCCTCGAACCGCGCCGAAGTCTCCCGACTCCAGTCCTCATACCTCTTCTTCACAGCCGCTAACTCCTCCCTGACCTTCTCGTCCCCCTTCCCCGGATCCGTAACGCTGTCCTGCCGCGCCTTCGCCGCGCCCGTCGCTCGCATCGCCCGCGCATCCTCCGTCCTCGTCCTCGCGTTTCCAACCCCAGACCTCCTCTTCTCCCTCGCGCTATCCGCCTTCCACAGCCTCTCAGATACCGTCCGCATACTCGCATCGTTTGGGCTGCTGGGGTCCAGCGCCGTCGGGCTCGCCGCGACGATGCCGATAACAGATCGCGGTCTAGGCGTCGGACACTGCGACTCTGATTCCAGGTTCGCCAGACGGCGAGGACTCGGGGCGCCGACGTGTACGTGTACAGCCGCGTTGCCTTTGGCCATGTCGCGGGCCCACGCTTCGGTAGGGATTTTGGTAAAGGCTGCCTCGCTGCGAGGGAGGATGGCGCCGCTGGTGTCGAGCATCTCGACCTCCTCGTTCTCGCCTACTTCGATGATGGTTTCGCGGTATCCGAGGGGAGGCGTCTGGACCGGTGGCGGCAGCAGCAATGGCCGGTTGTACTCGGCGCAGAATTGCTGCAGTGCGGCGGCTGGCGAGGGAAAAGGTTGGGGCGGGCATTCTTCTGGGACGCGCAGGTGGGTTGGCGACGGGACATCGTGGTATGTTTCCGGATCAGAGTCTGGCGACGTGTCGCTGGGGAGTTTGAGCTGCTTGTGTTTCTTGTAGCGTGTGTAGAGCGGGCGAGTGGTGGTCAGCATGGCTGCTCCGATGTCCTATTCCTTCAATCCAATCTTGAATGAATCAACAGTAGCCGCTTAGTGTCAGAAATTATGGAGTCAATTATGGAGTCGACTATGGAGTCCTCAGCGGGAGGCCCGCTGCCCTACACCGCGTATATACATAGTCACCTCCCTGCCTCCGCCCTCTCCCGCAATTGTCCTGTCCTGCTCGCCGCACAACCTTCCTCCCGAATCCGGCTTCCGAACGAAGCGAGACACACGCCCAATCACGCCGCCTCAACCGCGCGACAACCGTCCTGTTCGCTGTCCTGCTCGCATGATAGGCATACACTAACGGCTTAGCACTCGCATCGTCGTTCCTGAGAAACGCTGCGCTTGCCCCGATTGCAGTTAGCCGAGCGATACTGCCCGATACGCTGGAGAGTATACGAGAGTGCGACATGCGGGTCCGCCGACCCGAGAGGCGCCCATTGGCCGCGTACGAGGTGGGACGGTGAGGGAAACAAGTTTGAGGCGTGCGCATTGGGAGAAATGGACGTAAGGCGGGCCAGGCCGCAAGTGGGAATGGAAGACGTGCAGGCAGGCGGGCAAGATAATGATGTCAATGGCGGCGGGCAGCTTTGAGTTCGCGGTGGCGGCCGTATTGCGGGCGAAGGATGAGGTACGTGCGTGGTGATTCGTCGGTTGGTGGTCCGATTAAGGGTTGGGGAAGACCAGTTAGGAAGGATGCTGGCCTGAGGTATCCAACCCCTCACTTTTGCCAGCTTCGTGGAGTCATTATGTTGTGACTACAGGATACGGAGGTACATGATCTGTAGCCAAGCCAATGCAATGCAAAGAATGCGGACATGCAACGCCGAGCATAATGGCTTCGGGAAGTCCACTTTGCTATTTGTCAATGAGGTGCGTCGGTGTTGCCTCTGCGCCACGGCGGTTAGATAGACGGCATCTTGCTGATGGCCAGAATTGTGGTGAGTGCAGACAACGAAAGTAATCTTACATCAGAGCGGACAACAAACTGTCAGATAGTGGCCAAGTACCTTTGTCCCTTGAACATCATGTTTACACTTTTGTTCTAACGTTATCCACAACATGACAGTAGTGTTTAAGGAAAGGCTTGATTTAATAACAAAAAGAAAGCGAAAGAAGAGAGAGAGAGATCAGTATCGAGGGCAGGTATAACTTACGACACCGAGCTGCGAAGCTCCTTCGGTATGTAATCTGTATAGAGATGGTTCTATCACGGCTCCAGGTTCAGAGCGAACGCCAATTGAATGACCCAATAGTCGGGAGTTCTGGTATGTGCATCTTATCTTACAAAGCAACCTTCGTGTTCCTTCGTGCTCCTTCACGCTCAGAAAGGGTACCGGAGGCGAGTGCCGGAGATTGCACGAAAACCACGGATGTGACGTAGTAGAAAATGTAAGAGGTGCAGTACACCTCCAGCGAACGACGCACGTGCTCCGTACGCTACCTTCTGTGAGTGATGACTTGACCATTTTCAAACGGAATGGTCAGTGGGAAATGTTTTCCCAGGGAAGAGGACACAAACAGAACAAAGACTGGGCACTGACCTGTACGAAGTTGCCAAAGCCTCACACTGACCCGTGCATGGCTAGTCTATTAATTTTCGTATCAACGCCAACCTGCAGTACAACGTGCCAATCAAACCAATCCAACGTTGCCCACAGACTCTTGGTTGAAGCTGTGACGCCATCATCATACAGAAAGCATTCCGCGCGTTCACATGAAGAAATGCTTCGGCGATAGCTGTATCGGAAGACTTCTCAAAATCGATTCTTTGAATCATCGCTATTCCAAAACCAGCGAGACTCCCCGCTCTTGAAGCATGCCAGCAACTATGAGCCAGTTCGGTTCAAGGGGGTTGAGTGATCGAATCTGTAAAGTTCGCAGCTGCGTCATCGACGTAATGCGACTTTTTAACAAGTATTGCAACAACACTCCAAAATATTGGCGTAGGAGAATTGTATTGCATATTTCCAGGCCCTGCAGTGAGTCTGGAAGCAACTCGGCCAAACCTTTGGCCTCCGGACCAGGGGGAAATTGGACGATCATGTTGAGAGGTATAGTCAGGGACCGAAGTTTGGCAAAGTTGGTCAGAGATAGTAATTTTGAGTCAGACATCGTGCCGTGGCCCTGGTTTTGTTGAATGGCCTTGTCATGGAAGCCTATACAGAGGGTCCTCAAAGAATCAACGTGATACGCAAGGCCTTGATTAAGGCGGCCATAGTCGAATTTGTTCCACGCTGGCCCAAGTAGATCCATTTCGAGATGGAAGTTTTTCAGAGCCTTACACGATCGGAGAACCACATACAACGCGTTTGCGTGTAGCATGCTTTCGCGGAATATCAACGTTTCCAATGTCGCGCTCTGAACACCTTGCCAGCAGTGATCCCACAAACTGCCGTTCCCAAGTGACATTTCTAGACATCCATTGACTTCTATATGGCGTATATTGGGTAGTTGGAAAAGGTGAGTGAGTTGACGGAATCTGATGGCGCCCCTCGTCTTGTGAAGACGACACGACAAACGCACTGTGTGTAAAGCCGGAAAGGCATCGTGTCCGAGAGCTGAACGTGACTGAGAGAAAATTCGCATGAGTTCCAAAGACCAGGGAAGAATAGCAATCACCCCCTGGTCGTATCTCAAGTGAAGCTCCTGGAGGTTTGGCGACGTCTGTACAAGGAGTATAGCAGTGCATGCGTTTTCATGATCGTAATCAAAATGATTCCGCCACTGGATCTTTATTCCCCGAGGCATTTGGAACTTGTTGGCCGCCTGGCGCACTATCTCCTTTGCTTCTTCCCAAAATTCTGTTGTCGAAGTGGGCATGTGGTTTATGCTGAGCGACCCCACCCTACTCGGGAGTTCGATATCAACATTGCGGACATGCTCCGCAATGTCGGAGCGATTGATGAGGGCATAAACAAACTTTAGTAATCTGAAATTGTTGCCACGGCGGCGTGAAACGAAAGTCTTGTAGAGAAAAGGCAGGGCTACAGCGCGAACCCGTTTCGATACGAGACACAGACTTGTGATGAGCTGTATTCTTTCGGGGTAGTCATCTAGGTAGGCACATATCATGTGCAAAATCTCGTTCGGGCAATCGTATATTATTGCCATGACATTGGAGATGGAGGAGACGGGGAGGAAGTTGCGTGGCTGCCGGTCGTTGTTTCCGCGCAAAGGCGGGGCTCATCAAATTCTGCAATCGCGATGGGTCAGTCGCCCCATGTCACGCTCCGAATTTGCTTGCACCCTTCTTTCCCTACCTTAAGACGCATCTTCTCTCTTGATTCATCATCTGCGGCATCACTCCATCAGATCTGCCTTTGCGCGACGATTGTCAACCTGAAACCACGACTCTTGCACACAATTCGGCTAGTATTCGAAGAGACTAGAGCTCAACGATCAATTGCCGTGCTTACCGCTGCGGTTAGCGGGAAAATTTACTTTGAGCGAGCTGACTGTGAGTTA